TAATCGCAAAAAATCGAAAATGAAAATTTTTATATATCTTTACGTTTCAGAGGTTTCTGAACATTTTGGCATACCTTAGAAAAAATGGATGTATGTGTGTGTGTGTGTGTGTGTGTGTGTGTGTGTATGTGTGTGTATGTGTGTGTGTATGTATGTATGTGTGTGTATGTATGTGCGGATACAAATTTTCGTCGACGATTTCGGGAACACGGATCAACCGATTTGAATAATTCAAAAAACATTCGATCTGTATTGATAAGGAGACGTGCTGATTAGTTTTTGGCAAAGGCAGGTCAAGCCGTTCCGAAGATACGGGGCAAAAAGTTCCGAAAACGGTAACTCAGTTTTTAAGAGAACGGGGCGTCCGATTTGAATAATTCAAAAAACATTTTATTTGTATTGACAAGATGAAGAATCGATACAACTTTCATAAAGGTAGGTCCAGCGGTTTCGGAGATATAGAGAAAAAAGTAAAAAAATGAGCCATTTGGCGGTCAAAATGATCATTAGACATATGCACATCAAATTATCAGATATTTTATAGAGATTTTAACAATAAGTATACATTTTGTTAACATTCCTATGGTTCCGTACCAATGCTTATGCGTTAGACAGCGACGCGGCGCTTACGCGCTTTATATTTTGTCCCTATGTAGTTAAAGCAGTACGATTGCTTTGAAAAAAAGTTCAGATCTTCTACAATATGTCGAAATAAAGAAAAAAAATTTTTTTTCAAAAAAAATTTTTTTTAAAAAAAAAAAAATCTTTTTTTTTAAATTTTTTTTTCAAAAAAAACTAATTTTTGTCCAATTTATAGTTTCTCAAAAATCTTATTTTTTCAAAAATGTTAATCGTTTTTAAAAAAAATAAAAATTTTTGGTACGGGAAGTTCCAGCAATTTGCCTTAAGGCACGATGCCCTAATTGCCTTAAGACAGAATTCCACTTACAGCTAGTTTATGTATATATATATATATATATATATATATATATATATATTATGTTTTATAAACAAATTAATCAAATATAAACATTTGATATTAGTAATAGTGCTTATTCACGATCCAAAAGTTATAAACTTTTAATTTATTTAAGATAAGATCGATAAAGCAAATATTTTAGTTTTATTTTTCGATTACGTCAAAAATAATTTGAGACAAAAATTATTTAATATTAAAATAATTTAGTCGTGTTTTGTACGTCAGTGAAATCGTTTGTTAAAAAATTATAAATATAAGGTAAATTTATATATATATATATATATATATATATATATATATATAAGTATATTTATTTATTTATCAATAAACACTTAAGTTTCCTTTATCATTTATGGAAAATAAAAGACACTTAGAAATTTGTTTGTCACTCAAAATTTTAAAAGTTATCATATCTTTTGAAAAAAAAATATATAAAATAGAACTATTTATAATAATAATTTATGTTTTTGCCTAATGTCTTGAAAATTATTCGTGTTGATTTTTTTTTTTAAATATTTTGTTCTTTAATACCATAAATTAAATAATTATAGTATTTTACAGTCAACGTATAAATTAAAAAAAAAAAACAACAAAATTATGTAATTCAATAAATTAATCTAAATTATCAAATAATTTACTAAATGAAAAATTAGGTTTCAATAAAATAATTAAATTTAGTAGTTGTTATGTAAATAAATAAATTCAATAAACATTTAATTTACTAATTAATTAACCAAACAAATTAATCAAATAAATAATTGTTCCAAAAATTTAAAATGAAAAAAATTAAGCTAAAATTAAATCAATAATTAATATAAATCATTCAATGTATCATTTAATAATAATCTAAATAAGTAAACAAATAAATACGTGAAGAAAAAAATAAAATATTTAATTTATTATATTATTTATTTATTATTTTACAAGCCGTCGGTATAATAATATTATAATAAGGCTTAAGTCAATATTTTATAGGTTTAATATAATTTAATTAATTATTAGCTATTTTATTACTTATTTATTTATTATTTAATTTATTTACTATAAACTTATTTATATTTAGTTAATTTTAATTATTTTTAAATATAACTAGTTTGTTTGTTAAAAGTATTTTTGAAAAATTTAATAAGTATTTTAATAAGCTTTAAAATACCTTTACAATATAATTATTTTATTTAACAAATTTTGGGTTATTTTATGATATTTGAAAAAATTTAAGTGTCTTATATTATTGTTATTATTATTATTAATTTTATCATTATCATTTTTATTATTATTGTTAAGTATTTTTACAATATAAGTTTTTTTCTTTTACAAAATTTTAGGTATTTTGATGAAAGAAATATTTTGTTTAACAATTTTTAAGTGTTTTTAAAATATAGGTTTTTTGGTTAACTAATTATTAAGTATTTTAACAATAACAGTCATATAAAAATGATAATTTAAATAAATAATTTAAAATCAATAAATATGTACCTCAATATAGAAACAAATAAGTATTTTATTAAATGAATAATTAAACCAATAGAGTTACAAAAAATTTAACAAATAAGTTGTTGAATAAAAAAATGAGGATAATAAATTAATCTACATAAGATTAATTATATAAATATATCAAAGTGTATTTTAATAAATAAATAATTTGATAAACAAATTGTCTCAAAAAAAAAAAGCTCCACTCCATAAATATTTTTGCTATGAATTTGTTTAAAAATCCGGTGGAGCATTAATCAGAATAATTTTCATATTTTTTATTAAAAATTATAAATAATTATTAACAGTTTATAACAAAATACGTCTTAAAGAATATTGCGTTTCAATTTTAAAACAATATTTTTCCAAAATATTTGCTTTTTGAAATATTTTTGCGATTGAAATAGAAACATGTGGTCCATTTTGAGACGTAACTTGTCTTATCTGATAAAAATTGATTATATATAATTATCTAATCCATATATATAATATATATATATATATATATATATATATATATATATGTGTGTATATATAAATGTATATATCTGATCTTGAAATGTGGATTTTGATATGATAACAATTTTTGTTTCAAGTACTTTTGCAACATCACGCGATTTATCTATAATTCACGTGCACTATTTTTTATATAAATAAAATTAATATGTTTATAAAATATTCATTTGATTATTTGTTTAATTTAAATGTTAATGTATGGAGTAAAATTGTAATATACTAGATTTTTTAAAAATCTAGTATTTTGTTCAAAATTTATCCACAAAACATAAACATAAAAATTATTAGTAATAATTACGTTGATGAAAAGATTAAAAAATTTTTAAATCAATAAATTTGATTTTTTTAAATTATAATTACTATATAAATTATTAAGGTGTCTACAAAATTAGTACCTATTTTTTGTACTATTTTTAAAACAAAAAAAATTGATTTTTTTTAAATAGTATTATTACTATATAAATTTTTAATGTGTCTACAAAATTAGTACCAGCTTGTAGTTTATTTTTTAAATTTGACTGTTTTTTATAAATTCGTGTAAACTTTAATTACTGACACACAAAAATACATAAAATGAGTACATGATATCAAATAATTTAGTTCTCGAAAGTCTTCAAATACTCTTGTGAATAATTTTGAAAGTCATGATTGTTCAGCAAAGTTTTTTTTTAATATATAAGAAGTAGGTAATCGAGAAATAATTTGTACAGATATGGAAAACATTTGGAATAGATAATAGGTATGAGAAATTTATATAAAATTAAATAATTTATAATCTTTTAATATATTACAAAGCTCTAAAGCAACTCGGTGTATTTTTAAATAAAAATTAAAACTCGAAGAAAAACAACGGTTTGGTACTATATGTAAAAATGCCTGTATTTCTTATATCTCTTGTAACTTTTGAACTATTTCTTTAAAATGAATAAAATATTTGGCAAAATTGTTAAAAATAGTTGGCAAAATATTGTTCAAAATTGAATAATCTATAATATTTTAATACATAATAAGACTCTAGAACAACTCTGTATACTTTTAAATAATAATTGAAAAGTACAAAAACAAATACAGTTCGATATTATAGGTAAAAGTGCATTTTTTGAATATTTTTTGTAACTTTTGAACCACTCGCGTAATTTTGATGATGTATATCGAAAATTTATACAAAATTAAATAATCTATAATATTTCTATACATGATAAGACTTTAGAACAACTCCGTATACTTTTAAATAATAATTGAAAAGTGGAAAAATAACTACAATTTGATATTATAGGAAAAAGTGCATTTTTCTTGAATTTTTTGTTACTTTTGAACCATTCGTTTAATATTGATGATGTATATGAAAAATTTGTACAAAATTAAATAATCTATAATATTTCTATACATGATAAGACTCTACAACAACTCCGTATACTTTTAAATAATAATTGAAAAGTGCAAAAATAAATACAGTTCGATATTATAGGTAAAATAGCATGTTTCTTGAATATTTTTTGTAAGTGCATTCACTCCTTACATCTCTTGTAACTTCTAAACAACTTTATTCTTATAAAAAAATTTTATACAAAAATGTTGCAAAACCCTGTCCCTAACTAATTACTATCTAATATATCAATTATTATATCTACAGTACAGCAAAAAAAAATTACATAATTATCTATATAAAAGTGTTTTCTCAATGCCAAATGCTCTTAATGCCCGAAGTTCGGTCGGAGTGCCCGGTGCGTTGTGGATAAAATTTATTAAATTTATTAATAAATTAGTGATTTATTAATTTTTGTATTTACAGTATATATCAAGGTATTTGTTTTTGTTTTTTGTTTGGTTAAATTTGGTGTTGTAATTCAGTTTTTGGTGATCAAAGTCCGGATTTAGGATTTTTATCTAAAGGTTTAATTTAAGTGTGATATTTGATAGTGATTTTTTATGTGAAATTATTTCATTAATAAAATAAATAGAACAAATTTAACTAGGAATAATTAATAAATAATATGAATTAAATACAAATAATACAACTGTAATAATTTAAGTATCTAATTAAAAAAAAATAATACAAATATAATAAATTATATTAAATTATATTTTTTAATTCATTGTGTAATATTTTTTTGATCTATCTTTATCTTCATTAGTTGTTATAAATTTAATAAATTTCTATAATGACTAACTTGTACAAAATTAAATAATCTAGTTTTTCAATCACTAAATTATTAACAAAATTATTATGTTAAATTAATATGTGTTTATTCATAAATTTATTTATTTATCCTTATAAAATTATTAGATTTTTGTGTACATATATTTAAATTAACATAAACAATTATTATTTAGCATAATTTTCAAAAATGGTCCAAGAAACCGAATGCAAATTAAACGGTTCCTGCCAGCGTCCCTCAAACCCTGAGGAAACTAATGTAATCCACGGTCCAGCCGCGCCTGCCAACGAAGGTTTGAGGGGCTTTGGAGAAGAAATTTATGACAGGATAGTTTTACATGGCAACAGAGTATCCATGGTAAATATTAAAAGATATATGAAATAAATATAATGAGCACAATTGTATATAAACTCTGGGAAAAATAGAAACTTCGGTTGTGTGGTACTGGATGTTTTAGTATATTTTTTGGCTATAACTTCTGTAATAATTATAGCTAGTGAATGGTTTTTGTAATGGTGTATAGATAACTAAATTGTGTTCAAATTTTGCTAAAACAGTTTTGTTGCAAAAATACTTCTATTTAAAAAAAATTGCGCTGAAACACAGGAGATGCAAACTCAGACCGTGTGCACGCGATTTAGTCGCACTTGATAACAAAAGTTTGAGAACCTTTGGAGACGAGTTTTATAACAAAATAATTTTACATGATGCTGAGTATCTCTGGTAGTAATATGAAAAATAAATAAATTGAATATAATAGCTACAAATTCTTGAAAACTCTGGGACAGTCAAAAGCTTGGGTAGTGTTGTACCTGAGGTTTTGGTATATTTTTAGATCGTAACTTCTATAATTATTGTTGTTTATGAATAAATTTAAAGTAATTGTATGGACAACTAAATTAGGCATAAATTATTCTAAGACAATTTTTTTCTACATACATTTGTTATTCTATAAAATCGAGCTGAATTACAGCGTAAGCAAACCCAGACCGTGTGCACACGGTTCAGTCGCACCTGATAACATAAGTTTGAGAAGCTTTGGAGAAGAGTTTTATAACATAATAATTTTATATGGTGCTGAGTATCTTTGGTAATAATATGAAAAAAAAAATTGAATATAATAGCTACAAATTCATGAAAACTCTGGGACAGTCAAAAGCTTGGGTAGTGTAGTACCTGAGGTTTTTGTATATTTTTAGGCCGTGACTTCTAGAATTGTTCTTGCTTATAAAATTGTTTTAAGTAGTTGTGTGGACAACTAAATTAGGCATAAATATTTCTAAAATACTTTTGTTTTACATACATTTGTTGTTCCATAAAATCGTGCTGAAGTACAACATAAGCAAACCTAGACCGTGTGCACGCGGTTCAGTCGCACCTGATAACAAAAGTTTGAGAAGCTTTGGAAAAGAGTAATATAACATAATAATTTTATATAATGCTGAGTATCTTTGGTGATAATATAAAAAATAAATAAATTGAATATAGTAGCTGCAAATTCATAAAAACTTTGGGACAGTCAAAAGCTTGGGTAGTGTTGTACCAGAGGCTTTTGTACATTTCTGAGTCGTAACTTCTAAAATTAATCTTGCTTAAAAAAAATTTGTAAGTAGTTGTATGGACAACTAAATTAAGGATAAATATTTCTAAGATACTTTTATTTTATACACATTTGTTACTCCATAAAATCGTGCTAAAGTACAGCGTAAGCAAACCCAGACCGTGTGCAAGCGGTTTAGTCGTACTTGATAACAAAAGTTTGAGAAGCTTTGTAAAAAAGCACCATACAAAATTATTAAGTTATAAGACTGAGTATCTCTGGTAATAATATAAAAAATAAATAAATTGAATATAATAGCTACAAATTCATGAAAACTCTGGGACAGTCAGAAGCTTGGGTAGTGTTGTACCTGAGGTTTTGGTATATTTTTGGGTCGTAACTTCTATAATTATTGTTGTTTATGGAAAAATCTAAAGTAGTTGTATGGACAACTAACTTGGCCATATATGTCTCTAAGATACTTTTGTTTTACATACATTTGTTATACCATAAAATCGTGCTCAAGCAAACCCAGACAGTGTACACCCCTGGACCTATATCCACTCCGACGCACATAACTCCTAAACCAATGCACATACAACAAAACAACTTTAGACAAAATTCCAGCCAGTTATATCACCAACAAACTTTTCTAACACAATTTTCTTGTAACTCGTACCATTTTCCTAGATCGACGGAGACACCGATCGCTCCACCACCTTCGACGCCCTTCGTGCACGCAGTGCAGCAATTGCTCTAGCCTTAAGGGCTCGTGGAGTGACCAACAAAGACGTCATAACTTTAGTAGAACTGACCACAGAAGACTCTTTTGCCATTGTTTTGGGGATAATTTTCTCAGGAGCCACTTTAGGGATGTTGGATGGAGCCTGGACAGTCCGTAAGTAGAAACTACTCTCTAAAAAAAGCCACAAAATCACTAGTATTTTTTGATTTTAGCAAACACTGCCAGTACCCTACTACCTTTATATAAACCAAGGGTTCTGTTTACACATGTTCAGTGTCTGGATAAGGTCAGGAAGGTTCTGAAGGACTTTCCAGAGCAATTGGGACAGACCGAGTTGGTGGTTTATGGTTATGAAAATGAAAACGAGTGCCAAGGTGCTGTTTCGATTGATAAATTTGTTGCAGAGTATGATGAAAATGATGTCCAAAATTTCAAGTAAGGAAAAAAAATTATATATATATATTAGGGTAGTCCCTAATATGGACATTTTCGAATTTCCTTGCTTCCAAGGGCTCAAGTGGTTCCAAATTGATAAAAGACAATTCTCTGAAAGTTTTAGCTCTAAATATTAACTTTTAGATAGTGCGCAATTCAATCAAAGTTTTGTATGGAAATAGCATGAAAAAATTTTCAAAAATTTTAAAAATGTTTTTTAGATGTAATTTAGTGAACAAATGAATGAAAAAGTCATTCAATTGTCGCTAAGTTATACCTAAAACATTTTTTTTTCAATTTTCAAAATTTTTTCGATGCTCTTTCCATACAAAGTTTGATTGAATTGCGCACTATCTAAAATTTAATTTTAATAGCTAAAACTTTCAGAGAATTGTTTTTTAACTTCCCGTAGGGTAAGTTATTGTAATGGGCCGAAAATCGGAATTGAAAATTTTTACATTTCTCGACGTTTTGAAGGTTTCTGAACGTTTTGGCATACCTCAGAAAAAATGGATGTGTGTGTGTGTGTGTGTGTGAGTGTGTATGTATGTATGGATACAAATTTTCGCCCACGTTTTCGGGCGTACGGATTAACCGATTTGAATGGTTCAAAAAACATTCGATTCCTATTGATAGGGAAAAGTGCTGATTAGTTTTTGGCAAAGGCAGATCCAGTCGTTTCGGAGATACGGAGCAAAGAGTGCAGAAAATAGAAATCGAATTTTTGAGAGAACGGAGTATCCAATTTGAATGATCTAAAAAACATTCAATTAGTAATGATTGGGAGAAGTGTTTATTAGTTTTTGGCAAAGGCAGGCCCAGCCATTTTAAAGATACGGAGCTAAATATGTAAAAAATGGCAATTTTTGAGAGAACTAAGCGTCCGATTTAAATGATTCAAAGAACGTTCTGCTTGTCTTAACAAAATAATTGATTTTGGAAAAAAAAATTTTGTTCCAATTTTTTTTTTTTTTTTAGTTTTTTGTATATCGAAAATATTTCAGATTTTATTTTTAATTCTGACTATAGTACTAATATACTCTACAAATAATTTCAACTCTGCAATTCAGTTTATATAATTCTTATAAATATTAGACAATGTTACAATATTTATAATAATCTATTTGAAAACATTCAGTATTCCACGAACATTTCGTTACGGTACGGGAAGTTCCAGCAATTTGCCTTAAGGCACGATGCCATAATTGCCTCAAGACAGAATTCCACTTACAGCTAGTTTTTTATCAATTTGGAACCATTTGAGCCTTTAAGAGCAAGAAAATTAAAAAATGTTCATATTAAGGACCACCCTAAAATATATATATAATCATTATATTTCTAGATTTTCCAAGAACTTCGTCGTCTCTTATTATTTCTATTTAAATTCAATAAGAAAGATCATTATGAAATATGAAATTTTATATACAGAGAAAAGCTTCTTCAAATATTTACAGGAGTTGTAGCAATTAAATGAATTTCCTTTCTTGTTTTCTTGTTTACTCTATTTTATTTATTATTTCACGAACAAACGCAGAAAATATTTTCTAAGGATTCTTGAGAAAACACGTGTATGAAATTAACAAATGCAAATTACCTATTTAAATAATAAACTAGTGGTGTATGGCATCGTGCCTTAAGGCAAATTGCTGGAACTTCCCGTACCGTAATAAAATATTCGAGAAATTTTAAACGTTTTCGAATATATTATTACAAATACTGTAACTTTAATTATTTTTGCTATCTTGTTATGATCTGAGCAAATCAAATGTAAATCATAAATCAATTTATTTGCAGAACATTAACAATCGTCATTTCATTTCGAATTCAATTTCAAAAAAATAAGAAATTGCCTAATTTGCACAAAATTGAAAAAGTGCTCCCGTATAGTCACAGTCTAAACGCATTTGCAAATAATTCTGTGCAACATTTTCACTTACACTGTGCTTAGCTTGGCGGCATTTTCACATTTTTCAATTGTTTTCACAAAATTGGAAAAGTGGTCCAGTAAATTAACAGTCTAAACGCATTTGGGTAAACATTTGTACAAGAGTGGCGCTTAGACTGTGCTTAGCCTGGGTGATTTTTTTGAATTTTTAATCCAAAATTACAAATATATTTCATGGAAAATAAAAAAAGATGTAATAATTTTTTATCGTCAAAAGCAATTGTTTTGTCAATACAAGCAGAAAGTTTTTTATATCATTCAAATCGGACGCTTAGTTCACTCAAAAACTGCCATTTTTTTAACATTTAGCTCTGTATCTCCAAAACCGCTGGACCTGTCTTTGCCAAAAACTGATCATATATTCTCCCAATCCTTACAAATTGAATGTTTTTTAGATCATTCAAATCCGATTCTCCGTTGTCTCATAAACTCGATTTGTATTTTCTGCACTCTTTGCTCCGTATCTCCGTAACGGCTGGACCTGCCTTTGCGAAAAACTAATCAGCACATCTCCCTATCAATAGGAATCGAATGTTTTTTAAACCATTCAAATCGGTTGATCCGTGCGCTCGAAAACGTGGACGAAAGTATGTGGACATACAAAACACACACACACATCCAGAAACCTTCAAAACGTCGAGAAATGCAAAAGAAAATTCATTCATTTTTTATTTTCGGTCATTACTATAACTACCCTACGGGAAGTTAATAAATTAAATTGCAAATCAAATGAATAAATTTATGTAAAAGTAGTAAAAACACTTAACAGTAAACTTAATTCTATTACTTTGAACCAAAGTAATTTACTATTACCAATTTTTAAATTTTCTGTCTCAGGTTTTCAAGATTGATTTTAGCAAATTTTTTTATTATTTTTCCTATTTTTTAGGCCAGCAAAAGTCGAAGACACATCCAAAACTCCTCTCCTGATTTTGTGCACCAGTGGAAGTACAGGAGTTCCCAAAGGAGTTGTCCACAATCACAAAAACATCAATGACGTCATCTTGGCAGCAGGAGCGTAAGTGAAATTTTCATTGTAAATCCAAAAGTCTTCAAAAAATATACTCACTTTTGAGTGGATTTGATGCACCAAAGACCATTCTACCAATTTGAATAATTTTTTGTAATTTTGGATTTTTTTCTAGACTGTTTCCTCAAGCTTTATCCTTGTTCACAAACGCACCATGCTATTGGACTTCAGGCATCTACATGTTTCTTATATCTTTATATGCAGGCAACAAAAAAATTTATACGAAAAAACCATTTAGTGAACTCAACGTACTTGGGCTTGTCCAAAAATACCAGGTAAGTACCTAAAAGACCTTTGTTTATTTATTTATTTAAATATATACATTATTTTCATATCTCAGTCAGACAGAGGTGCCTGGTATGAGAGAATATGAAAAACAGTTTTCATATTTTATATATACATTTCTTTTGACTTTAATATCTATTTCATTAACATAATATATATATATATATATATATATATATATATATATAACTCTTCAGTCTTTTTTTGTCTTCAATTTTCTTATAGTACTTCTTTATTTTTCTTTTAAAATTATCGTCATCATTGGTCATCTTAATATCGTTTGGCAATTCGTTATATATTTTGCTAGCACTCCATCATACGACATTTTCTCTCAAATTCTTTTTTCTATTGTGTTCAATGTGAAAATTGTTGTATTGTCTAGTGTAGTGTTCATGTATATCTTGATTTATGTCTATCGTTGCACGTATTTTAATTCGATTAAATTTCATTTTGTGTATTAGTTTGCATTTATCTATTTTAATTATGTTATTTAGTGAATGATTATTTGTTTCTCTTTGTAAGTATTTGGTGGGTGTTAGATGTTGAAAATTATATGCTATTTTTATGGCTTTATTCATTATTCTCTGTATGTCATTTAGGTTTGTTTAGTTGTTTGGCTCCATGTTGTTATTCCATATAAAATTATAGGTATTATTTGCGTTTTAAGAATTAGTATTTTATTTTTTTGCCGAAAGAGTGGATCCTTTTCAATGCCCCTGTTAATGTTCCTAAGTATTTTATGCTTTCCACTTCCTCTATTTCTCTATTAATAGGTTGTCAAATATCTCCCTTCCGCCTTTTTGTATTATAAACCAAGAGCAAAAAAGCGGAAGGGAGATATTTGACAACCTAATATTTACTTTAATATTTAGCTTAGTGTTCTCGGTAATTTTTCTATGTTTGAAATATATGTATTTTGTTTTATCGATGTTAATTGTTAGTTTATTTTCAGTTAGCAACTCGGTGTATATTTTCATGTCCGTGTTTATAATATCTTCGAGTCTTTGGATGGAAATACACCAAATTCTATGTATCTATTTATTAAAACAGCAAAGTAGTGGAGCTATTAGATTTATTATTTTTTTAGTGATTCTTTCTGTTATCTTGTCTTTTCTGGTGCAGCGTTATTTTCAGATTTTCAACAATTTTTTTTATTAGGTTGTCAAATATCTCCCTTCCGCTTTTTTGCTCTTGGTTTATAATACAAAAAGGCGGAAGGGAGATATTTGACAACCTATTATTTCTTTCTCATCTGTTAATTCAAAAATTTGGATATTGTTTTTAGGTCTGTGTATTGATGTGGTTTATAGTCGCAATGATCCCTTTTTTTGTAGTTTCATACCTATCTCAGCAAAATGTTTGTTGAGATACTCCGCAATGTTTTCCTTTTCTGTAAGAAATATATTTTTAACCTGATGTTGTATTTTTTCAATAATTTCTTTATATTCATTTTTATTTTTTCCTCCTCTTAATGTTCTATTTATTAGTTTCCATATTTTTCGAGAGTCACTTTCACATTGTTTTGTTTCTTCTGAATAGTATTAGGTTGTCAAATATCTCCCTTCCGCCTTTTTGTATTATAAACCAAGAGCAAAAAAGCGGAAGGGAGATATTTGACAACCTAATATTGTCTTTTTGTTTTGTAGATCATATTTTTGTATGTTATTATATTTTATTCTTATGGCATTATGTGTGCTTACTTCATTTAGATTGCATTTCTTTAAATTATTGTAGAATTTGTTTCTGTATTTCATTAAGTTAATAATTTCTTCTGTTATCCAGGTATCTTCTCTGGCTCTTATTGTTTCTTTGACTTTATTTTCATTTGCTGCTTTTTGTATAATTTTTATTAAATCTTCTAATTCGTCCACTATTTTAGAGTTTAATTTACATGCTATTGTGTTTTCTAGTCCTTCTAAATCTAATTATTTTATGCATTTTTGGTTTAATTCTCGGCGTATTTTATATAAATACTGTTATCATTTTGTGATAAGATATTTCTGTGTCTTCTATTTTTCTATATTAATCTTCTTTTTATAATTTGATATAACATGGTCAATTATGTATTTAGTGTTTTGAGTCTCCCTTGTGGCGTATTGGCTATCTATATTGTTTATTATTTTGTATCCTGATGATTCTATAATTTCTTTGTAACTATTTGATATATTATTGTTTGGAATTAAATCTAAATTCATATCATCTATTATTATTGTATTTTTGCCATTTTCTTCCATTTTTCTCTATTAAATTTATCAGATCTTGTTTATTATTATTCGGAGGGTTTGGCACAAAATTATAAAAATATCTCTGCCTGGCAAAAAACTTTGGTTACCAATTTCCTGTTTTTCCCCAGATCAACGCCTTGTTTTTATCAAGTTTTCAAGTTTCACTTATCAATCAGCATGAGAAGACACCATCCTATGATTTATCTTCGGTTTATATAGTTTTATGTGGTGGTTCAAGACTTTCCGATGGCCAAATTGCAAAGTTGCAGTCTAGGTTGCCAAGAGGTAATAAAATGAATGAGTTATTTTTTTGTTTAGATATTTTATTTTTCTTTTTATTTTTTAGGAGTTGTCCTGTTGGGTTATGGAATGACAGAAATGTGTGCTGGTGTTGGCCTAAATCCAAGAGACGAGCCTAAAGCTGGTTCAGTTGGTAAATTGGGTTCAGGATTGTCTCTCAAGGTAAATGTTAAATAAATGATTGAAATTACACAATTCCTCAAAATCTTATCCATGAATCCAAAACCCACGAACTTACAAATGATCAAAAAACCAGAAATTCAAAGATAAAGAAAGCAGCAATCCAAAATCACAGAACCAAGAATCCAAATATCAAAAAAACAAAAGTTTGTAGCTCCATAATTTATGAATCCTAAATATTTTACAAATCCAAAACTCAATAATCGAAGAAGTCAATGCTTAAGAATAAACAAATCTAAAATTCAGTAATAAACAAATTTAAAAATTCAAAAATCGACATGTGTGTAATCCAAATAATGAAACTCTAGAAAACAATCAAGAAATCACAAATTTAAAGATAAAAAAATACTCTAATTTAAAATTCAAGGAATCAGAAAGCCAAAGTTCAAGGAACAAACTATTATATGTTTATGAAACCGCAAATCCAGGTTAAAAATCTAAGAAATCAAAGATAAAAAATTCAGAAATCCAAAGCTCAATAATCCATAAATACAACGATCAAATTTCCAGAGATTTTAAATCCAAAAATGCAAGGAATAAGAATTCATAAATCTAGATCTCAAGAATCTTAAATAATACAAAATCCAAACATTTAAGATGCAGAATTTTAAGAAATAAGAATATAGAAATCTACAAATTTAAAATCCTGTACTTCAGCAGCTAAGAATCTATAAATCAAAATGCAATAATAAAAAAATTCAATTACACAGAATACAAGATTCCAGAATATTAAAACTGATAAACCCATAAATTTAAAACTCAGGATTCTAAAAATCATAGAATACAGAAATATATAACCAAATAATCCAGACATCCAAAAGAAAAATCTTCAGATCCAAAACTAAATGAATCTAAATCACCAAAACTCAAGAAACCTCAAATCCAAAAGTCGAGAATTCAGGAATTTAGATTTCTGAAGAATCCAAAAATTCAAACAATATAAAATCCAGGAATCCAAAGTTTATAAAATCCAGGAATCTAAAATTTTAAATTCCAGAAATCTAAAGTTTCAAATTCCAGAAATGTAAAGTTTTAAAATGTAGAAATGTAAAGTTTTAGAATCCAGAAATGTAAAAGTTGATAAATCCAGAAATTTCAAGGTTAAAATTCCAGAAATTTCAAGGTTAAAAATCCAGAAAACTCAAGTTTTAAAATCCACAAATGTAAAGTTTAAAAATAAAGAAATCTCATGGTTAAAAATAAAGAAATCTCAAGGTTAAAAATAAAGAAATCTCAAGGTTAAAAATCAAGAAATCTCAAGGTTAAAAATCAAGAAATGTCACGGTTAAAAATCAAGAAATGTCACGGTTAAAAATCAAGAAATGTCTGGTTAAAAATCCAGAAATGTCACGGTTAAAAATCTAAAAGTTTTCTAAAAATCCAAAAATCTTTAAGTTAAAAATCCAGAAATCCCGGAATCCGAAAATCCCGGAATCAAAGAATCCTAGTATGCAAAAATCATAGTATGCAAAAATCATAGTATGCAAAAATCATAGTATGCAAAAATCCTATTATGCAAAAATTCTAGTATGCAAAAATCTTAGTATGCAAAAATCCCAGGATCCAAAAATCCTAGAATCCAAAAATCCCGAAATCCAAAAATCCTAGAATACAAAATAACGAGGAACCAAAAAAAACAGCGATCGAAAATTCGCGTACCAACAAACTAACCCACTCTTTTTTCTCCAGGTTCTGGATTTAGAAACGGGCCAACCCTTGGGCCCAAACCAAACAGGCGAGATATACATGCGAGGGCCAGTAATGTTGGGCTACTATTCCAATCAGGCCGCCACTGACGAAATCATTGACCCAAAAACCAGATGGCTCCGGACCGGAGACATTGGCCATTACGATGAGGAAGGATACGTCTTCGTAACTGATCGGCTGAAGGAGATCGCTAAATATAAAGGACTCTACGTAAGGGCCAGTATATTGTGGACTAGGAAATGCAATACCGAATGTATACCGAATTACCGGTAAACCACCCAATTTTTTGGCGGTATTTACCCCAAAAATACATAATACACTAAAGTTTAAATTTCTCGGAACAAATTTATCTTGAAATTCCATAATCGCATAAACAGCTATATCTTCAAGTGATTATATACGATGAACAAATGTCAAATATTATCTCAACTCGCGTCATTAAACTGAATATTTATTGCTTTCCAAAAGGCTTCATATCGTGTTACAATAAATATAACCGGACCGATAGATGATGATGTTTGTTTCATCTTTTGTAAAAATGTAACGATTTTTTAAGTGATATTTGCGCCAAAATATTTTATATCATACAGATTACACCTGCGTAATCTTTATTTTTTCTAACTTTATGCTTAATAATTATGATAATTACTAAATATTTTTGCTTCTTATTACAATTATAAAATATTATTTTTCTAAAACGTTTCGAAGTTTGAAAATACTATAGAAGCATCGCATTGTTTTAAATAACAATACTCAACAATTATAGAAACTTATTATTTATCTCGACAAAGTATCCGATCTTAAATTAGTGTAGAAAATTATTTTCTTAAAATGTTGGAGATTATGCTAATTTAACACATCGGATACAGACAAAACAGTTTATTATAATAAAGTAATATGATGTTTTATGAGACCAAAAAGTCTTTCTTACTCATAAGTTTGTTTTTGGTGAAAAGTACTCAATATACTCGTCGATAGTGATAATGAATTAATTAAATTGGATATAATTTTGTTAAATTATTATTTAAAAAAATAAACTTATTGTTTTATTTTATTGTTTAGTTGAATATAGTTGTAGTTGTATATACATTTTTTTAAATTCGTACTAGTAACTTTCAATTTTGTTTACGTTTGTTTAAGATAATAAAAATACCGGTAATTTACGGGTATTCCGGTTTTAAAATGAAAAATTACCGAAATACCGGTATTGAAAATTTCCAACGGTATTGCATTCCCTATTGTAGACTTATCTTCTATCTACAAAAATAGTGGTGAATGTTGTATTTATCTTTTATCTTTCTAGATAAATCCAAGTGACATCGAAGAAATCCTTTTAGAGCACCAAAGTGTAAAATCGGCCTGTGTAATAACTGTCCCTCATGACGAGAACTTGCGATTTGGTTGTGGCCTTTGCAGAACTTAGAACTGGCCAGGAGAGCAAAATCCAGGCCGGAGATTTGGAAAAATACGTCAACGGTAAGAAAACAAATTCCAGAACAGTATGAGGTATTTTTTAACTTCCCGAAGGAGAAGTTTATGTTTTCATCAAAAAATTCGATTCGCTAATTTTATGTTTTCTCGACGTTTCAAGCCATTCTAAATCAAATGAGACCAAATTTAAGGAAAAACTATGTGTGTGTGTGAACAGACTTTTTTATTAATTTATTTTATCTTTAGATAAAGTGGAGGATTACCAAAAACTCCGGGGTGGACTCTATCTATTAGACAAAATTCCGGCCCTCACACATGGAAAAGTGGCCCGTCCGGCAGTAAAACAAATCGCTGCAGGAATGAAGGACAAAATAGTGGAACATTTTAAAAAGAATTACGGAAAATAAAAAGAATTTTATGATACAGTATTTTTAAAATTTAGGCTTATTGTTAAATATAAATTTAGGTTAGAATAACTAAAAAAACATTTAACTAGTTATAAAGAGGTTCTGTAGAACTTGATTTATGTAAATAATTCTGCAAACGTTGATTTTTTGAAAAAAAAAATTAATTTGGTTTTATTTATGAAAATCAAAAACTTTTCTTGTTAGTCTGTTATGTACAAATAGGTGATCTCAAACATGATTTGTAATAAAAAGTTATGTTCTAATTGTTGAAAGTTGTAGCTGTTTTTTCAAAATGCAAGTTTTTATATAGTTATGATTAATATATTATTATATTTGAAATGAGTTTTATTTATAACGACTGAAAAATGCATGAACTGGCGAATCCAAAAATTTATAAATCCATAAACCGATAATTCTACAAAGTCATAAATGAATCCGCGTACTCATGATCAAATTCACTAATTCATAAACCAATGCACAAATACATGAATCTAACAACTCACTCATAAGCCCATCAACCTATGGACAAACCAAAAACTTGCGAAAAAATCTAAAAGTTTGCTCAAGAATTCAAAAATTAGTCCTTGACTCTAAAAATCAGCCCTTGACTCTAAAAATTACCTGAGGAATCCAAAAATTACCTAAGGAATCCGGAAACTCGCTCAAGAATCCAAAAACTCGCTCAAGAGTCCAAAAACTCGCTCAGGAATCCAAAAATTAGCTCAGGAATCCAAAAATTAGGTCAAGAATACAAAAATTAGCAAAAAAGTTTAAAAATTAGCTCACGAATGCAAAAACTAGCTCAAGAGTCCAAAAACTCGCTCAGGAGACCAAAAATTAGCTCAGGAGACCAAAAATTAGCTCAGGAGACCAAAAATTAGCTCAGGAGACCAAAAATTAGCTCAGGAGACCAAAAATTAGCTCAGGAGTCCAAAAATTAGCTCAGGAGACCAAAAATTAGCTCAGGAGACCAAAAATTAGCTCAGGAGACCAAAAATTAGCTCAGGAGACCAAAAATTAGCTCAGGAGACCAAAAATTAGCTCAGGAGACCAAAAATTAGCTCAGGAGACCAAAAATTAGCTCAGGAGTCCAAAAATTAGCTCAGGAATCCAAAAATTAGCTCAGGAATCCAAAAATTAGCTCAGGAATCCAAAAATTAGCTCAGGAGACCAAAAATTAGCTCAGGAGACCAAAAATTAGCTCAGGAGTCCAAAAATTAGCTCAGGAATCCAAAAATTAGCTCAGGAATCCAAAAATTAGCTCAGGAATCCGAAAACTTGCTCAAGGATACGAAAACTCGCTCAGGAATCCGAAATCTCGCTCAAGGATCCAAAAACTCAAAAAAAAAGTTTGTATTTTTACATTTCTTAAATTTATGGATTATAAAGTTAACATTACTTTAATTTTTCGATTCTTGAGAAAACTTTTCGGTTCGTGAGAAAACTTTTGGATTTGAAAGTAAATTTATGGTATCGTGAGCAAACTTTTTGAATCATGAGCAAACTTTTGGATTTGAAAGCAAATTTTTGGATTCGTAGGCAAGCTTTTGGAATCGTAAAAAAACTTTTGGAATCGTGACCAAGCTTCTGGATTTGTAGGCGAGCTTTTGAACTTGGAAGCAATCTTTTGGATTCGTAAACGAGCTTTTGGATTCGTAAACGAGCTTTAGAATTCGTGAACAAACTTTTGGATTTGTGAGCGAGTTTTTCAGTTTTGGTGCAAATCAATTCAGAATATGAATATCGAGATAACAATGTTAGAAATTTGAATTTCCTCACAAAATTGTATTTTCTTCTTTTAGGAATTTCATAAAAAATTAATCAAAAACAATTTAAATGAATAATATATAATGCTGTTATAAATAATAATTCATTACTTATATTTGGAATATAATAATTTATAGAATTATGAGTAAAAAAAGATTTAGAATGTATCATATATTATTGGTTATTGTTCAACTAAAATTTATTTACAGATATATTAAAACATACCAAAACAATTTTATCAATTCTGACAATATAATCCTCCACACAAAACTCTTGTTGTTACATTTTTTAATTTCCCAACAATTCCCTTGTCACCACGTTGACAAATAAGATTGATGTCGTTGTAATTTTTCGGTATTTTTCGAAAACGTCTTGATCATCATCATCATCATCAATCCAAGCAATTTGTTTTCCTCTTAATATTCGCAAAGTGTCGGAAAATGTATTTTCTTTCTCTCCACCGCCGTTAATATTGGAAAACGAAAAACGAAAAAAGAAAAATTTATTCTCTTGGGGGTGATTGGGGATTGGGGACAGAAAATTAATATGTATATATATATATATATATATATATATATATATATATAGTAAAATATATATTTTTAACATCACATATGATAAAACACACAAATAAACATGATAACTTAACAAGTTGTCGAAACTATGTATTTACTGTTCGGAGTTTTTGATAGAAATGTCACATTTTTTCTTGAATCAGTTTTTAGCATGTGTTCAAATTTTACGGGAAATTTAAAAAGCGATGGAATCTTGTCATTTTCAAGAAATTTCGACACGCTATTTTGGAACCACGTGTTTGTTTCGTTCAAATACCGTATTGTCGAATAGTTTGTTTACGACCCTGTCGTTATGCAATTGCAAAAACAACCCCTCAGCAAATCCTCTTTTAAATTCGTTCTCTTCAAAATGTAAAATTTTTGAGTTGAAAAAACCTATATTATGGTTTAAATTGATAATATGTTCGGTTAGCATCGTCTTAAATTGTTTAGGATTTTTTGAGTTATTTTTGTGTTGATGAAGACGTTTACTTAGGTTTTGGCTAGTTTCTCCAATATAAAAAAGTTTGCTGTTAGAGCAATTAATCTGATTATATATATATATACATATATATATATATTTATATATATATATATATATATAAATCATCTCATAAATATTATGTACCGAATAATAAAACATCAATCGTAATCCTTTACCATTTCTTTACAATTTTCTTTTGTCGAATTTTGCGATTCGACTATATAAATCGTGGAAACGTTCAAAGTTCAAGGTCAAAAGGATGTCATAGTAGGTTGCCTAAATACAGGATTATATATATTATGTGGATCGCTGATGGATCCAATCTGAATAAAATTATTGTTCCCCAAAGTGCTTTTGGGGAAAAGCTCTCCTTGTCGAAATTCAAAAGAGAAGAATCGAATATTAAATAATTGTTATGTAATCGATGGGTGCTTATAAAACATACAAAAACATACATACATTAAATTATGTATTTATATAATTTTTGTGAAAGGAGATTCTACGTGATAATTGATTTAGTTAAAATGGTGAGAAATGGTAAAATGCAACGAATACTGAATAATGTTTCTGAGAATAAGTACAACTAATTAATAGGTTGTCAAATATCTCCCTTCCGCCTTTTTGTATGTAACCAAAAGCAAAAAAGCGGAAGGGAGATATTTGACAACCTAATATTATTTTAAAACATCCTATCAAATTTAATAGAACATAATCTGTCAAAACCATTTGACAATTGACGTATGAGCCGCCCTCTACTATTCGATTTTAAGTTAGGCTTCTACAAAAAAAAATTTAATTGCATTACTTAAAGGTAAATAGTGGAATTCAACAATATTTCAAAATATGTAAAATTAGGTAAATAAAAAATTGGACAAAAATTTGCAGAATCCTATCAAAAATGTATAAGACCGCCAAGAATTTTATAAGTCAATAAAAACATGATAGACATTAATAAAAATAAAATTTTTGATAGCTTTTAGTTCTTCGTTAGATATATATCAATATTAACAAATTCTTTTACGAAAATGAGAATGAATTCAAAACTTAAACATAAAATAATTAAAATTTACAAGTAACTTAGAAATAAAATTTTATAAATATGTAACCCAAATATCTTCTAACCTTTTAAAAATTCAAACAACATTTATATACTTTGGTATATAAATAAATATTAGTATACAAATATATGACAAATTTAATGAAAAGAACTAAATGTGTAAATATTCACCATTATTACATATATGTAATTGTCAAAAGTTTAAATAATAAAGATAAATTTATACATTTATTTCTATAAGGTAATTTTATATAATATTGTATATTTTTCACGTTTCTTACATTTTATTCAAGTCATTTTTATATATTTCGGGTTTTTTTATCGACGATATCAATTTCGTGCGAAATAAATGTTGTGTGTGAAAAATCACACCACACGTGCCGAAAAAAATGTATTAATCATTGGAATGGAGAAAAAAAGATATTAGGGTAGAATAAATGTAAAAACTAAATTGAAAATTGTGTTTTGCACGAAAAGGTAATAAACAAATTATATACTTATTTTTGATAAATCAAATTTCAAATTTGCAGTAGGAAAATTAGACTTACAATGCATTATGCAGGGAAAATATTTTTGATAAAAGATTGCCTATGTTTTGGAGATAATTTTATCTTATATATATATATATATATATATATATATATATATATACATATATATATATATATATTATATTATATATATATATACACGTATATATATATATATATATATATATATATA